CGCGGACACTACTGCGACGGGCCGCATCCGAGTCCCGCTCGACTGGTTCAGTCGCCTATTGGTGCTTCCTACAATGCAAGATTGGGCCAAATACCACATATTTCTACCGGAAGGTACCTCGAGCGCTTCGTGGATGGACGCTTCTTGGAGGCGCTGTCGGTAAATTTGCTGAATCGACAAGTTGGATTCTACCCAGTTGGAGGTGAGAATCCACGTATTTTGAAAAAGGGACACAATCGTACGCGGCTCAGCTTTGCCGGTCGTGTGTTTGCGGTTGATGACGTCGGCGATCGCATTCGTCCACTGCATAAACTCCTCCTCCGTGTTGGCGCAGAGCTATCGTACGGTGGTGGATAGGTTTGGATCGATCCATGGACTACCTTGTACTGCGACCCGCGCTTGGATTCGGACTCGCCAATGCTGAGATTCGAGACCTGGAAAAAATATTGGTTGGGTGCGTTCTGCGCAAACTGCTTCTCAAACAAGAGCGACACGTTGGTCTGGTTGAGGTCCATGCAGCCGCGGAACCACGGGTGCGGCTTGTGCACCACCGGGTGGTGATGGTGGGATGCGCGCGCGTCGTCGCCAACGTGCAGGTGCAGGTCGAGGTCGTCGTAAAAGGCGACCGAGCCGTGCGGCGAGTTGATGCTCGCGGACGGATTCGCCTTGTAGTACGAGAGCACGCCGCGCTCGAGGTCGAGGACGAACCAGCGCGTGTGCCAGACGCGCTTGCTCCACTTGCCGTCGCTGATCTTGTGCAAGTAGCCGCCAATGTAGTGGTGGTTCTCGGCCGACCCGCCGGCGGTCGCCGTGGCATACGCTGCGCCCTTCTTGCCTTTCGGCAGAATGCTGCGGCCGACCTTGGAGATGCCACCGCCCACCGCACGCCCGAGCTTCCCGATCGGATTCCGGCCCTTGCGGTCGTGTGTCCGAGGCATCGGCGCGCCTAAATGGCAGACAAGGCGCTCAGAAGGACCGCTTTTGTGTGGTCGCGACATACTTGCGGTGCGGTCGTCAAAAGTATCCGGGTCCCGCGGCAAGGACGGGCGCAGTGGCGGTGACGACGACCGTGGCTTCTCGTCGCCGTGGAGCTCCTACGCGTGCAGCATGAGCGACGAGGCATGGCTGGGAACTCACCGCGTCCGAGTCGGCCGACGAGTCTTCACTGCTGTCCCCGCCGAGGATCTCGAACGAGCTGAGGTTCTTGAGCCGGCGCTCGTTCGCGTACTTGAACGACGGGCTCATGTTGAGTGGGTCGCTACATGCCAAGCGTCGCATGCGATCCGAAATGACGCAGCCTACGTGTCTTCGTGGGCGACATGCGGCGGAATGGACGCCGAGAGCGCGACGTCGTCGACGACGTTCTCATCGTCGACCGAGGTGGCGGGCAGGAGCGTGGCGAGGGCCTCCATGACATGCGGGTACTGCCGCACCCACTTGAGGAACGTCGACGCCTGGAGGTACGCGTCTCTCGAGAGGTCGCAGTCGTCGAAGACGTTGGCGAGCTCGGGCGCGACCGACTGGTGCGACGCGAGGTACTCGAGCAGGTTGAGGTAGTCGTTGTAGTTGATCACGCCGTCGTCTCGCCTGCGCCGCACGCGGTCAGCCATGCGCGAATGCAGGACGAAGGAAGATCGTACCGCTCATAGCCGTACGTGGCGCCGTACATGCTAAAGACGTAGCCGACCTTGTCTTCCGTGTTGCCCCTAGGCATGGTGAGCCCACGGAGGCGCTACATGTGCTTCTGCGTACTGGTAGAAGAGCGCGAGCGTCCCAATGAAGTATTCGCGCGAGATGAGGTCGTCATGCAAGCCCTTCATCTCGTCGACCATGCTCTCTGCACCGCAAGATGAGGCACCAGCGTTGCAGGCGACGCACGTACCACCGTAGAGGCTGCGCAGAAACTTGGACGACACGAGGCCGCGCTTGCTGGCGAGGCCGCGGTCGCGCGAGCCCGTCTCCGTGATCTCCGCCTGCCGCGATGATTGAGCCAGCATGCAGTGGTCGATGGCCTACCTTGAAGGCGAGCCAGGCCACCTTGAACTCCTCAAGCTCGACTAGCCATGCGCATGAGGCGGCCATGCCTAGGAAGCGGCGACGTACATGGCTTGGTGGACCGCGATGCGCTGAGGCCCATGCTGCTGCCGAGCCGCCGGAACTAAATCTGTACCTTGCTACGTCACTACGTATCCGGAGAGTATCCGGAAGAGAGTGAGTGGGTGAGGAGAGCGCTTTTCGGTGGTCCGAGGCTGTAACCTGAGATTCGCACTCTCCTGGCGCTGAATCTCTGGCCGTTTCGTGCGAAAAATGTATAATAATATACTGCATTTCATCGTATTTAAAAACGAAAGGCGCCGCCGGTCCAACGGCTCGGCTAGTTGCACGCAACAGAAGCGTGGCCTGTCCTCACGACCGTTGACACGACGCCGCGAGCAACGAGTGACGCAGCGGCATCCGTGCTACAGGACGCCGACGATCGCGGTAAGGAATGACGCAAGTGCTTCATGCGCGACACGGCGGGTTGATGCTGGCGTCGGATGTCGCAGCTCGCCTTCTGGCTTGGTCGAACATAGTGCGTGCTTGAATGGATATACAGTGTATTCTTGGGCCTCCACGTGGCAAGCCGAGGTGCCAGACCTCTCGTCGAATCCCAGAACTTGGCAGTTGCCTTTCGAGATTTGTTTGCTTTTTCACCTCGCAGGGTTGCACGGATCGAGCACTTGTTGACGGCCGGTTGCCGAATTGTCGGGGCGTGCGGTCGTTGACGCTGTGCCACTCTGAGAGTAGCTGTGGCGCCTCCAACCCGCCAAGTTGCGTGCAAATAGACCACTGCATTCTCGCTCCTTTTCAACGTACACAGAGAGTCACTCTCTCTGTTTTTCAAGTCGCACGTTTTAAATCGCCAGGCCGCATCTCGCAAGATCCGACATTGCATTTTGGGGATGGTCAAGATGCTCAGTGTCAATAAGAACTGCGCACAGAATGAAGTTTGGCAAGCGCATGCGGTACTTGGCGGCGCCCGAGTGGGAAGGCGGGTACGTCGACTACAAGGGCCTCAAGCGCACGGTCAAGTCCCTCGCCGGCTCGGACGCGGAGCGCACCGCGGGCTTCCGCATCGCGCTCCAGCGCGAGCTCGCCAAGGTGAACGCGTCTTTCTTCTGCATCCTCGACGACCTCGGTTCGCGCGAGACGGTAGCCCAAGGCGACATCGAGGCGCAGCTCATGGCGGCGCTGGACCTCTCGCACCGCGTCGACGCGCTGCGGCGCTTTGTCGTGCTCAACTACCTCGCGGTCGTCAAGATCTCGAAAAAGTTTGACAAGAGCATTGCAGGCTCGATGCAGGCTGAGATCCTCGCGTCCGACTTGCTCTTGCAGCCGTTCTACGCAGGCAGCTACGTCGACGACCTCTACTCGCACACGGCCGCGACCACGGATGCGCTGTTGCTGCATCTCTTGCCAGAGGCACCTGTGGCGCACGCCGATGCGTCGTGCCCGATTTGCCTCTACCACCTCACGAGCCCCGTAACGCTGAGCTGCAGCCACTCGTTTTGCTGGTCGTGCTTGGCGAAAGCGGCCGAACACCACATCCACGCGTGTCCGCTGTGCCGCCAAGTGCAGTCGATCGACCCGCGTGACTACGAGATCGACGGCTTGCTCCAGCGGTTCCTCAAGCGCTACGGCACCGTGACTTCGCCGCCGCCTCTCGTTGCGCGGGCGGTCGACGTCGCGACCAAGCACCTCGAGTCTACGCAGCTGCGACTCTCGCTCGCCCCGCTGATGAGTCCGCCGCCCCTCGAGTCGATTCCGGAGGTCGACGAGAAGCTCCTGCTCTTGCCGCGCGTCGCTTGTATCGCACACCCGGCCACCTCGCGCTCGATGACTGCGCTCACCAACGCCATCGCCGCCGGATGCCACGTCTTGTCGATCGATGTACAGCTGGCCGGCGACGGCTCCGTCGTCGTCTCCCACGACAATCGCCTTATTCTGGAGGCCATGGACGCCGGCGGTCTGAGCGACGCGGGTGTCCTCTCTCTCCAGCACGTGCTCGGCACCATCTCGGGCGTCGCATTGTACCTCTGCGTGACCTCTGACGCGGTGATATTGCCGCTTATGGCGCTCCTCGAGGCGGTCTGCGCGGACGAGCGGTCGTGGTGGTCGGGTCCGCGCTTCTACATTGCGTCGGGCAACCACTACCAGCTGCTCGCGATCAACGGGCACCGGGGCGCGGCCCCCGCGCTGCACGGCCTCCACACGGTGGCCATCACGCACTCGATTCCTCTCGGGTACTGCAAGAGCTTTGAGGCGCTGCGCGTGTCGCACGTGTACGTTGACGCAGGCGTCGTCACGCGGCCGTTCGTGCATGACGCGCACAGCCGCGGGCTGCACGTCTTTGTGGGGCTCGTCAACCACGAGAATGTCGCGTGGAAGGTGCTCGAGGACATTGGCGGCGTCGACGGCATCGCGACGCACGACCCGAGCATGCTCGTGTCGACGCTGCTGCATCACGCGCTGCAGGCGCCCCCGCCGCCGCCACCCGTCGCGGCGGCGGCGAGCGAAACGTACTCGGCGGGTGACCCGGTCGAGATCGTCGGCCTCTACGACACCGCCAAGTGGTACCCCGGTGTCATCCTTGGTGCGCGGGCGACGGACGCAGGCACAACTTACGCGGTGCTGTGGTGGATGAGCGACAACTCGCAGCGCCGCGCGACCAAAGTCCTGAGCCACCAGCTGCGCCGGCCAGTGCCGCAGTACGAGGAGAGCTACTTTGGCTACGGCATTGACGTCGCGTTCGGCGCACTCAAGACGGCGCTCGGGTGGGCCAAAGCTCCGTTTCGATCGCCGAGCGACTAAGAACTGGGTGGTCGATCGACTCTGCATGACAAACTAACCGTGAACTGTGCTGCATTTTGGTGTTGAAGGTCATGCCACGTCCGTACCCCTACCCCGCGGTAAAGATGGCCACACAGCCAACGCCAGCATCGCTACGAAGGAACACGAGCAGAGGACACGCGTGCTCGAGTGGTTGTGGTTGTACTAGTACGCACGACGGTGGACGCAGTCGTGGGCCACCCTCAGGCGCGGTCGCATCGGGACCGGGTGGTACATTCGTTAAATAGTGTAAATACAAGGAAATAGTGTCCCGACCAATAAAGTGCTTCTTGCTTCGACCACATCTCGATGACCGGTCGGTATCCTGGGCCGATCCTCACGTCGCTCGATGGCGTCGCTGCTTGGAAGACGAGCTTCCTGGCATGCACCGAGACCGACGCCCACATCAAGTACTACCTGACCAAGGACTACGTGGACCCGAGCTTGGCGGATGCGATCACGGCCGACGACATGGCCCAGATGCTCCGCGATGCCAAGGCGCTCATGCCCACGTCGCGGCTCGACGACTTGCCGCCAGACGAGCGCGCGGCCGCACTCGCACAGCGCCGCAGCCAGTACAACGCGCACATCAACGTCTTCAAGGAGTCCATTCTTGGGTCGCTTCAAGCAGCCCGCGCCGCAGCCGCGGCCGCCTACTTGTCGTCGGCGATCGCGCCCGCGCTGGCGGTCGGGAACCGATCCGATCCGTACAAGCTCTGGCAGCGCTTACAGCGTCCTGCGTCCAGCGGCGACGTCATGGCTTTGTTGCAGAGCGTACTCGACCTCTCATGCGAGCCGGCATCGGGCGCCGCCTTCTTCGCCTCGTTCGAAGCCGCCATGGCGCCGCTCACGGCCGCGCTATTGGACCACGAGCCAACGATCCAAGCCATCGACGGGATCGAGTTCGACCCGGTCGCCGAGCCGTGGTTCGAGGCCTACCGGGCGCACGTCGCCGACAAGGTCCAGGCCACGCTCCTCGCGACGGTCTTCGCGCCCGAGCTCAACCTGCAATTTCGCGCGTGGAGCAAGATGAAGCTCGAGTATCGCTTCCTTCGCCAGCGCGTCGAGAACTTTTTGAAGGAGCTTCCACCCGGCGCGACACTCAAGCGCAAGCAGCCAGCGGGGATGGCGACCTCGTCGGCCAAGAAGCCCAAGCCCACGAGCAATGACGTCGTCGTCAAGATGGAGCCGGGAACCGAAGCGCCGATCAACATGCGATCGTTCGCCGAGTACCACAAGCGCCGGACGACAACCTCAAGTCCGCCCCGTGCAAAGGCTTTCGAGAACGGCGACGCGGTGCCTGCCAGAAGCGACAACTATGAACCACCCGGCGCAAGCGCCGCCAGCTTTCTCAGCAGTCTCGACCACCTTCTCGAGGAGCCGCGGCCAGCCCGAGCCTCGCGCTGGGACACGGAAGCCGACGAAGAATCCAACTATCACCACGAAGAAGTTAAAAGCATGGACCGGCCGCTGTCGTCGTCTCGGCCCGCTGCGCGGCGCGTCGTCTCCTACACTGAGGCGCCCGTCGAGCGCGGTCCCAAGTGTTTGCCGCACGAGGAGGCGTACGCGGTGGACGGTGTGTCCGCTGGGTCGACCTGTGACTATTGCTACTCGTCCAAGCACAAGCCCACGCAGTGCCCGGCGCTCGTCGGCGACCTTCGCCGCCGCCGCGTCCGCGCCAGCTACAAGGTGCCGCAGGACCTCGTCTGTCCGTACTGCGCGCTCTTTGACGACGTCTTTGCCCATGCCGTCGCCGACTGCACGCGCCTGCATGGTGACACGGCCGGGGAAAGGTGCACCCGGGCTACCGCTCGACATCGACCCGCCCGTCGCCGGCCCGCGGCTGCATCTACTGCGGCGACAGCCATTTGGTCACGCGGTGCTTCAAGCTGCTTCAAGACATGCGCTTCAAGCGCGTGCGATGCGACTTTGTTGTGCCGACGGGGTTTCTCTGCAGCTACTGCCTCCTGTACGAGCACTACTACACGCACGACGAGTCGGTCTGCAAGAAGCTCAAGGACGCACTGGTCGCTGGCAATGTCCACAAAGACTTTGAACTGCCCTTAGGCAAGTCGATGCCCAAAGTGCCGGGGCGCGTCAGTGCGCCGTCGCCGGGACCGCCGCTGCCACGGGACCCGCTCGCCCGCTCGGATGCCATGTGCGCCTACTGCGGCGCGCCGTCGCACACGGCCAACAAGTGCCCGATTCTGCTCGGCGATGTGCGCAACCACCGCGTTCGCAACGGCTTTGTCGTGCCCCCCGAGTACGTCTGTGGCTACTGCCACTTGGTCCAGGCCAAAGTCTTCTTTCACAGCGTGAGCGACTGCCCGGCACTGCGCACCGATCTGCACAACCGCCGCGTCGACGCTCGGTACGTCCACCCGGACAACACGCCTTGGCCGACGGTGCAACCACCGAGGTCGTGGTAGCAGTGCCCATAATGAGATCGTTGATACTGTTCCTACTACGTGGGTTCTACCAAGGAGCTAGAAAGTACCGGTAATGGAGGCGGGCGTTGCAACCGGTTGGAAAGCGTGGCGGTTGACTGCAAATAGACGGCGGCCGCGTAACCACCGGCCAGTGCGGGATTCGATAGACCGTCGCCACGATAGCGCTTCCTCGAGTCAAGTTTGACGCCGCCGGCGACGACGACCTCGCGTCGCCTCCCAAGATGGTCAGTCGCCAGCCGCCGCCCAAGCCCAAGCGCACCACCTACCACGACGAGACGGACGCGGATACGTTCGAGTCGGACGACAGCTACTCGGCGCCCGTGGCTCCGCGCCGGGGCCGCAACCACCGGGCGACGTCGCAGTCGCCGCCGTCGTCGCCCGTCGGCAAGGTCGCGCCGCTCAAGACCGTCGACGGCGAGGCCGAGACGACGATCGGGGTCGCGGTGAAAATGAAGGGCGAGCTCTCGTTCGAGCGCCTACTGCGGATCGAGGGCGAGTTTGACGGCCGGCTCGTCTCCAAGGGCAGCCTTGTGATCGGCGCCAAGGGCCTCTTGACCGGCCCGGTCGAGGGCATGAAGGAGGTGCTGGTCTCGGGCGGCCGCATCATTGGCAACGTCAACGTCGAGCGCCTCGTGCTGCGAGACAAGGGCCAGATCTTTGGCAACGTGACCGCGAAGAGCATCCGCATCGATCCCGACTGCGTCGTCGTCGGCTCGCTCAACGTCAACCCGCACGCGCCGTCGCGCATCAACCTCAAGGGCGAGCCGGTCACAGAGGAGCCCAAGCCGCCGCCGGTCACACCGACACCGCCGACGCAGCCCGTCGCGTGAGCAGCAACTTGCATTATAATCGCAACGATGATGACAACCATGGCCATCGTGCAGCTGCACAGTCTGCAACAGTGGACATCAAAGCTCCTGGGCAACTGCAACGTGCAGTAGAACGTAGAAGGGTTTAGCGTACACTACGTGGGAGAAAAACGCATCCCCCAACCACAAAACGGAGGCTACTCTGAACCGGTTGGTGCCAGATGGCGGTGTTTAACGTGTTTTTACGTAGTGTTTATACCACCCGTCGATACTGCGTCAAAGTCGCTGACGTGGCGCGACGCAGCACACATCGCCACCAAATCGACCAATCATGTGCTGTATAGCAGCTCCCGCCCGCCCGGACTGGCCAATCAAACGCGATGCAGCACCGTCGGGAGCGCGCCGCAGAAATCCGAGACGGTCTGGAATTGAGAGCGCCCTCAACGCCGACGACACGCCCGGAGCTTGCAACGCTCTGGAACCGAGTCCTTAGATGTCGGTTCTTCGTCCCTTGCGTGTCGCAACGCCCGTTCGAGACGTTGAAGCAGCAGCTGTCTCTGCACTTGGACAATAATCGGCTTGGTCGCCGTGACGATCGTCCCGTGTACGTACTCTTTGGTCGGTGGGATCCAAGCTCCAAAGGCTTATAACTGCATGTGTCGAGGGTGTGTTTTCGGTCGTGTCTATTCACGCTCGAGCCGTAGCTTGTCGGTGCACCGGCAACCCTCGCCGCCACAGTAGCCATCGCCGCGAGGACCACCTTGATGACAAGCTTGGCTACTGCTGATATGCTGGCGACATGTGTCTGCTGCGTCTTGAAGAGCAAACGAGAGGTTCGACTAAGGCCCGACTCGACGAGATCTCGACACGAGCTCTAATCAATCAGTTAGTTGCTGGGACGCGCGACTGGCGCTGGAGGTATTAATTATCGTCATGGCGCCCCCGATCTTTCGCGCCCGTTCCAGTCTCCGGTTAAGTGCGCCATTGGGACGAGATCGTACTTAGAGGTTTTCGGAAAGCAACTCGAGTCGCAGTTCCAAATTTACCGCGGCCCGACCAAGCTGCTGTATCGCGGCTTGTCGCACGGTCCCGCCGCCTGTACCTCTGCCGCCATCGCCGCTGCATCGCCCGCATGTGCGATAGTGCCATCGAGACGCCGGCGACGAAGGCCCATGACGTCGACGCGACGCCCACGAAGGCGCTGGCGCGATCTTTGACGCTGGTCGTATCTTCGCCGCGCAACGACATTGCGCAGACGCCGGGCCGCACGGCCGTGCGCCTGCTCAACTTTTCGCGCCGGCCGCAGCAGGCCAAGCAGCCGTACGACGCGCCGGTCTCGACGCTGCTGCGCGCGCGTGGCGTCAAGCTCTCGCCGCGGCCGCTCTCGCCCGGCCACGAGACCCTGCCGCTCGACGTGCGATGGAAGAAGCGCGCCCGGTCGAGCTCGAAAGGCCTCGTCGACGCGACCGGGCCGAAGAAATCCAAATGCTCGCCGCCGCCCGTCGCGCTCACGTACCCGTCGCGCGTGAAGGGAAAGGCCAAGATGTCGACGGCGATCGACGCTGCGATCCGGCATTTCCAGCGCGACCAGCTCAAGACGACGACGTACTACCACGCACCGACGTGCCATGTCGTCGTCGCGCGCACGCAGGGCACGCGGCCGTACATGGAGGACGAACACGTGGTGCAGAAACAGGTGTTTGAGGACTCGGGCGCAAGCGTCTTTGGCATCTTTGACGGGCACAACGGCGGGTGGGCGGCCGAGTTTGCCTCGACGCGCCTCGTCGAACTCGTGAGCGCGCACGACGGTCTGCACGCGATCGCATCGCGCTACGCACCGCTCTCGATGACAGCCGACGTGCCGCTGGACGTGTCTGAGGACGACGTGGCCTCTGTCTACGAGGGCCTCACCGAGGTCTTCCTCGCGCTGGACGACGAGATCCTCACGCAGACCATCGCACGCAAGCAGCGCGACGGCGCGACCGGGCTCGTGCTCTTGGTGCTGGGGCCCCACGTGTTCTGCGCCAACGTCGGAGACACGCGGGCCGTCCGGGGCACGTGGTCCAAGGCCGACGACAGCGTGTGCACAGACCGCGTCTCGCTCGACCACAAGCCGACGCTCGAGGCGGAGACGGCGCGCATCGTCGCGGCCGGGGGGCAGGTGTCTGCATATTCACTTTGCATGTCTGGTCCATGCACTCAAGCATCGCTGCAGGTGATCTTCTCGGGCTGCTGGCGCGTCGCGCATGAAAAGGTCGGCCTCCGGCTCGCGGTCAGTCGGTCGTTTGGCGACCACCCGCTCAAGCTGCAGCTCCCGTCGTCCTGCGCCGCGCCGCTCGTCTCGTGCGTGCCGAGTCTGCGGCATTTCCGCATCGACACCGAGTCGGCCGCCGACTTTGTGGTCCTCGCCAGGTACGCCGCCTGTCTCGACGTCGTCGATTTCCGAGTGCGACGTGTAGTGACGGTCTCTGGGATCGGCTCGACGACGACGAAGCGGTCGAAACGGTGCAGACGGCGCTGGCGCAGGCGGCGGCCGGCGAGGGCGGCTTGAAGGACCGACTCAAAGCCGCAGCCAACGCGCTCATCCAGTCGGCGCTCGAACGCAAGAGCTACGACAACATTACGACGCTCCTCGTGGTCCTCAAGGCGCCGTCGGTCGTTGCGTTGACGTCTTAAGTTATATACATGTATATCCATCTGCAACCCTAAACCTCCTCGTCGTCGTCTGCATGGGATGGTTGCTATATTATGTCGTCTACTAGTGCTACAATTTGGTGGGTTAGGCATGCGACGGCGTGGCGTCCACCGTCTTGTCGTCGTCGTCGTCGTCCGACACGACGACGTCGGTGCGACGGAGAAACTCGAGCCGCGTCGCGCCTTCGGTCGTGACGGCCGTCGGGTTGATGAGCGCGTCGTCGTCGTCGTCGTCGCCGTCGCTCCAGGCGTCCGGCGCGACGACGACCGGCGGCGGCG